AACACAATAAACGATAAACGATAAACCCTTTTTGTCACAAAAAAATTCGCCATTCCTTTATTAAATAATTAGCTTTTGTTTTTGATCTCAAAATTTTATACTGCAAATAAATAAATTTTATACTGCGAATAAATAAATATTATAATTATGATAATTATAATTTTATTATGTTTAAAATAAAATGTGCCTTTTAATATAAAACACCTATTTGATCAAAGTTATTTAATTTAAGGAGAATTTTTGCTTTGCTATTGTCTACTTTGACCTATTTATTGGATGTCATCGAGATATGGGTTGATTCACGTGACCTCATCTCTGCCTTAACGTTAACGTTGGCAGAGATAAGGTCTCGTGATCAACATTTCTGTATAATGCCGGCCAAACAATCTCACCGTGATATTCATAAACTAACGCTAATAGTTAATGTAAATTGTACGCCAAAACTATAGTTAACAGTAGTTTTTTTTTTTTGAAAAACTAGTAGTTTATAGTTCGCAACCCTATCTAAACGAACTTAAATCGCATCACATGTTAACCCAAAAAAATTTTTCAACGTCAAGATAGATAATGTATTCAAGTTGAATAAAAAATAAAATGTATAATTCGTTATTACATTGATAACATCATTAATTTTTGAATGTAAAAAACCAATTTTTAGCATTATTAACCTTTAAGTAGATTCATAATTACAATAAATTTGTTGGCGAAAAATTCTTGCTTATAATTATTTAATAATTTTGACTTTATAACTATCTTTGCCTTTCAAGTTGTACTTGTGAATTATAATAAATAATAATAATTATAAATCATTCTAACGAGTAGATACTGCATCCTGGACTAAATTGACAGCATAATCTCTCTTCCGATTTGATTTCTAACATCGACTGAATTAACATAAAATTTACTTCATTTAAATTACGTTGCGTAGATTAAAATTTTCTGCGCTAATATCATATGATTGGTATTTAAATGTCATGTGACATCAGTGACTTTATTTAACGAAGCATATAGAAACTGATTTGTCGCAAAGATATTTTAATGCGTCAAGCAGTCTTTGAAGAGTCTAAAAAGTTTATCAAGTGTTATTTTATACCTTTTTTTATAAGCAAATTTTTAGAATTTTTTTTGTATTAGCACAGCCTCCTATCATTAATAATTGATTTCTGGTTTAATAAATATAATGTTTCTTTAAACTATCTTCTTTAAACTTGTTTTTAGTATATTTTAAGAATTCAGGTTGCATAAAAGTGATTAACGCGTATGTTTTACAATATTTATATATTATTTAATATTTTGCAAAATCGATTCTTAATAGTAAAAATATCATATGATACAATGCTTGAAGCATTCAAAAGATTGTAGATTTGAGTCGTGCACACGATTGGTCTACACACAAAGTTAAACATTGTGTTTCAAGTAGGGATGTTAAGTAGTCAGACTATTTAACATCCCTAGTTTCAAGGTGTATCTAATCGCGAAAGAGTTGTAGGAAAGTAACGATTTATTTTTTAATTTGTAAGGCATAAACCAACAATCTTTAGAATTATGATTAGTTTTTTTTGAACATTTGCACCACCTATAATTCCCGTATTTAATATTGTCACAAACCCAATAAATATTAGGGGAGCCACAATAACAATATTTCTTATCTAATAAGCACCCATTACACTTGTTTGTTTTTTCTCCCCATAGTCGAGGGGGTTGGGACCCATCCATTCTTTTGATCTAGAGTAGACAATTATTGGTCAATATTTCATAAACAATAATAGAATTATTTGGAATATTTTTATCAGTAATTTTGATATAAATATGTTTCGTTTTTTATGTCTTCAAAAAAATATTGACTATAAAATAGCAAAATACAAATGAGAGAAAATGTACATTCTAAAAATGAACTATTTTATGAGTTTCATAATAATCTATTTTTAGAATGTACATTTTCTCTTGCCCGCACTCAAATATTCTATCTGGTATAGAGTAGTGATGTGAACCGAATATTGAACATAATCTATGGATTATTACAAAAGTTAGAAGTTAGACCGCAAACATCTCCCAACTCTTCAAGACCAAATTCTTTAGCAGTTAGGAATAAGTATAAAGATTTTTTCGTAAATTTCTGATCAAATAAATACTTGTTTATTTTTAAACCCGATTTACTGCTCTGAAATTATTGAGAAAATGTGGTCGAATGTTATTTTTAATACTTGAGTAAATTCTGGTCTCTTTTCAAACTCTTTTTTATGTGATTTTCTTGAAGTTGATTTCGACATTCATCGCAAATATTTAAATGTTTACTTAATGATGTTGGTGGAACTGTGGCTATCTAAAATATTATTGGCTGTCTTTCCTCAGTTTCACTAAAAGTACCACAGGTTTCACCACATCTCAAGAACAATTCAGATGCAGATATTGAATTCCGTAACGATAGATACGTACATACTACCGCTGCTTGAACGTCTATATATACGTAAATTAATCAAAGTTACGTAATTAGTATTTCAATATTTTATTATCATTATGGATTATATCGAAGCTGCCACAGATATTGTTGGCCAAGTTTGTGAAGATGCAGAATGTAATAGAGAAATTTGTAAAATTATGATAAATCGAGTAAAAGTAGCAGAATATGCCATCGGAAAATTTATGAGAAATGTAGAAGATGGTAAAATAAAATTTAATGAAGGATATTATTTAGCACTTAAACGCTTTGAAAATATTATGGCAAATATAAAGGAATATGTAGATAAAATATCGAAAATTAAGGGTTATAAAAAATATCTTCATGCAAAAGAAGTTAAAAGTAAATATGAAAAATTAACAGAAGAATATGACACATGTATGAAAGATCTACATTTTACTATTGACATTGATGAGAAATGTAACAGAGAAGAAGAGTCTCGAAGAGTTGATAAATCTCTAAAAGAGATTGATGAAGTATGTAGAATTATTTATAAATTCGAATTTATATTGCCTTTACTTACTGTATTTTATATATATTATTTTTAGTCACTTGATAGAATTGAGAACAAAATTGATAGTATATTGGTTCAATTTGCACCTCAGTATAACGGTGTGAAAGAGATTCCTCCAAATGAATTAAGTAATCCTCTTGTTTTACCTAAAGAAAATATTCATATCATTAAAAAATTTTACAATGCAATTGAAGTTGAATGTAAGAATTTTAATGAATCTGAAGATTCTAAAGATTATTTAGCAATACTTGAAAAATTAGATTCACCTTACATTCTCCGTTTATATGGTCTTTCATACGTTGATACCCGAAGAGTTATGGTTTTTGAATGTGCCGACCGTGGATCTTTAAAGGATCTTTACAGAGTTAAAGATATTCCTTGGACTAGAAAAATACAAATTATTCGAGATATCTGTCGTGGTCTGATTTTTTTACGTAGTGTAAATATTTTCCACCATGATCTTAGATGCGAAAATATTTTAGTAAGTACTATTAAGAAATACTATGCATATCAATATAAACAGTAATTCATCATATTTTCATTTAAGTTGTTCATTATAAAATAAGGTTTGAGCTAATAATTCTTCAGTGAACTTGGCTCGTTCTGCTAGGGTTGCCGTTACTTTAGTTTGCGCTTCAAATTTTTTGATTAATTAAGTCTAATACTTCAAGTTGATTCTTTTCTATGAATTCAAGTCATTGTTGAATATCATAAAGTTCCAGTTCTAGTGGTGACATATTTGAGTTAATTCGCTCTTCTTCTAAGGTGTCTTCAGTCAAATTATCGATTTCTTCTTTAAAGTTATGGTTAGAGAATGCATTTTGTAATTTTTGTAATAAATTGCCAAATGGTTGTTCACTTGTATTTGGAGTCTCTTCTTTGAGTTTCTGAATTCTGTTTGGTTCAGTTTTATGCTTTTCCGAGTCATAGCATTCATGACATCATTGTTCAATTAAATCTTCTTTATCAAATGTATAGAAGCATCTTTGACAAACTTCTGGTAAAGGATCTTCTTCAATTCCAAACTTTACATATTTATTTTCTTGTAGTTGTTCTTGAAGTTTTTCTTCAGTGTATTCTGGTGGTTTCCTATTTTCTAAAGTTTCTGTCATTATATCATCTAGGGTTTTGTTAATAAATTCGTCTTCGTTTCTTTGAAGAATTGTAATTTCTGTAATATATTCATTGATTGATTGGTTGTATACTTTTGGTAATGGGGTTACTGTTTTATCGGATTTTACAGATTTATCATCTGCATTGTATCCATTATTCCATTCATCATCAACATAACTTGCAGTCACATTAATATAGTTGGTAGATTTATAATGTGTATTTTGAAATTTCTGTAAAAGTGTGATGAGTCTTTCAATTCATGATTCATTAAGAGGGTATTGTCTTCTTACTGATTTGGAAGATCCAGTTCTTCTAGTAATTCTTTCAAGAATGTTATAATTCTTGTTCCAGTCAAGTTCAGTGTAAATCATGTACACATATTTTTCTTCATGTGAGCAAAAGTAATAAATAGTGTTTGCTAAATGGTGTGATCTGTTGGTTAAAATTGGTCTTTTACAATATTTGCAAGTAAGGAATTTTTCTTGATTATTGAAATATGTCTGTGCTCTAATATCTTTAGGATTGAAATCGAATTGTTGTTCATAGAACTTGATTTCACATTTTTTGCACATTAAGACTTCATGGTAACTTTTCATTTCATAGTTTTTAGTGTCACGGTAGTCAACATTGGTGAGCCTTTTCAGGTCTCTGTATCTGTAAGGTTGGTTGCATAAGCAACAATGATACCAGTCGTCTTTAGACGGTTCTTTCTTGAGTTTTTGAAATGCGAGTTGTCTGTTTCTTTCAATGATGAATTGGTTGCATCCACAGAGGTTACTTTTTTGTAATTGTAAAAGTTTAATCTCTGGGCAGTCTTTCTTATTAAAGTGGATTGTCGATTTGCAATGTTTGCAATGATCAGTTTCTTTCCAGTGCTTAAATAAGTCAGATAAGTTTACTCTTTCAGGTTTAACTCGAATTGGTTTCTCTTTAGGTTCAGTAGAGAACTGGATACAGTATTTTGTGATATGCCTTTTTCTAAGACATCGTTTGTATTCGACTTCTGGGCAATGGCTGTTAAAGTGCCCTTTAATATTGCAGATTCCACAGATTGCTTCTTGCTCCAAGTGTTGGTAGTTGGGTCTTTTAATTTCTTTAGTATAAGGGTTCTCCTTAGAAAATCTTCTCATTCTGTTGGGATTATATTCATTAATCTTGCAGTTGTGTCCTTCAAGAATAGGTTGGTTACATTCTTCACAAGTATTGGTATTCATTTTCAGGGTTGTTATTTCAGGGTTTGTTTTCAAGTTGTTTTACTGTGTTGTTGGTAAAGTAAAGGTGATTGATTTCAGGTCCCTTAAATAGATGTTGAATGTGGTAAATCTTTCTAGACTGTTTATATGTTTGTTGTGATTGAGTCAATAATTATAGTAACTCAGTTTCATCTTGGTTGCTGTTGCTGAATGATATCTTGGCTGTCTTGGCCAAACATTCTAAGAATGCTTGTCATCTTGTGTTTTTGTTTTGTTTATGCCATATTTGTTTAAGAATATGTGCTTCAAGGTGTGTTCTGTTTTTAGGTATATTTCATTTAAATATACTCCATTGACATTCAATGTTGTTGATGTGATAAACTTTTATTTGTCCTGTGTATTCATCTTGATCTGTTACAGCAAAACTGCATGAGTGATTCATGGCGTAGTGTTGTATTCCAAGCCAGTTGTAAATATTATGGTAGCTTGACTACATATCTGAATAAATTATTGATTCAGAGTGTATGTGTTTCTCTATTTGATTTAATAATGTTTCAGCTATATGATTTTCAACAATTATAGCAAATAATTATTTGTCTGGAGTCTTTTCTATTCCTCTGAATACCCATATGTCTTGGTATTTTTTAATGAGTTCATTAGTGTTTTTATCTTGTACAAGTATTTTACGTATTCCAAATCTGGATTCATCTACTTCTACAATGATATCTTTTCTTCTGATCTGTTGTTGTTCTACAGATATATTAAAACTTATGAGTTCTCGATAGATATTCATCCATCATGTGATTGTTGTTGGTGTTAGGCCTGTAAACAATGTTATTGTCTCATGTTTTGCTCTGATAAGCCATAAATAGTCTATCAACAATGCGTGATTAATCTTTATTCTTGCATTTGTAAATATTGTGTCATTGAAAATTGATAACTTCTTTTGGCATTGTTTCTGATTGGTACAGATAAGTGAAGTGTTGTTTGCTTTCATTTCATTGTTACAATTAGGGCATTTTCCTATGGTTGGTAGTATCCTATTATCTTGTAAGAATGTTATAGTGTCATGTTCTGATTCTAGATGTCATTTTAATTCAAAATAGGTTGGTATGTCAGTATAAATTATTTTGTTTGTTGTTTTTTGCAATTTTGGTATTATATTGCATCTCTTTTTATAGGGTTGTTTATGGTTATATTTATACTATTTTAGATGTGTTTCTCGGGTTAATTTTGATTGGTTATTTTATGTTGTTTAGATTGTTCAGAGTTATGATGATATCCTGTATAGCTTCTCAGAATCCATCACATGTTACACCAATCAAGTATCATTTTTTTAGATTCTCTTTACATTGTTTCTTGAATACTTCAAATTTATATTTTTCAATGTCTTTTTCTGGTTCATATTTAGGCATGAGCTTTGGATAGTGAATATAAAGTTTGCCATTTCTATTAATAAATTTTGCTTCTAGTCCTTTTTATTACATCTATAATGTTTCTTGATTCATCTGATGAGAATTCTGAACTGTCAGAGGTTTCAGAGGTCGAGTTTGATGAGTCAGATAAACTACTTTTCTTTCTTTTCTTTTTATTTTTTCTTGGGGTGGTTCGCTTCTTATATTTCTTTTTTGTTAATGTTGGGCATCTATCTCTCTTTTTATTGCCTTGAGATTTTCCTTTAAAGTTAGACGTATCTGAGCTGGAAGAGGCTGAGGAACCAATTTCTGATAAATCTAAAGAGGATTCTGACTCAGAATAGTTCAACAGTTCTTCACTTTCAATGGTGTGCTTATTAGAAGCAGCAGGTATAAGCCAGGATCAACTACGGCATCTATTTGTAGTAGTTGGGCATGATGAAGTTGATTGTCACCATAAAGGTTGTTTTTAGAATCAAAGGTTCTTTGATTCATAATAGGTTTCCCTGTATAAGAATGATTTGATTTTTGATATCTTTGATAATACCAAGTTGGGTTTGGTGTTTATTGGAAAGAAGAATGTATTTAGATAGTGATTTTAATACATCTATTTTAATATTGGTAAATAGTAGTTCATTTATTTTGATATTAACAGTTGCTTTGCTGATTATGATAACATTGTTTTGTCCTACTGCTTCTGCAGTTGATTTTTTTGGATTAAAAAGGAATTTATTTCTGAGTTTGGATTGTAAAATGTTGAATTGATTTATCCCCATAATGGTGTTGGTTGATCCTTCATCAAGTTTTATTTCTAAAGGTACTTCATCTATGAGTGCATGGAAGTAAAAGCCTTTAGCTTCTTTAGGCTTTAATTTTGCTTTTCTTGTTTTGGTTGTTCAGAGAAAAGTGTTAGTGGCAGAGTAATCATTTATTTCATTTGGTCCATTATTTATAACTTTATTAATATAATATATTTCTTGGTTATTACATGAATTATCATGACTAGACTCTATAGTGCAGTCTATATTATTGTTTATTGGAGATGAGTCCTGAGCACTATGCAGGTTTCTATCTAGAAATATTCCTTGTCATCAAGTGAGAGTTTTTTTAGATTATAGATTTCATCGTAGTCTTCTTGGAATTGTTTATATTCTTGAAATTCTTTGAACTTTTCAAGTGAGAAGAGTTTTTGTTTTGAGTCTTTATTCTTATTGTTTTCTTCAAATCTTCTCTTTCCTAGACTTGATTGAGGTTTTTCTGAAAAGGTACTTGGTTTATCTGGTTTGTATGATCATTTTTGGTCTTCTTCTTCTTCTCATTTTCTTTTTTCTTTATTATTGTTATTGTTATTTAGATAAATTTTATCTCCTTTATTAAAGTCACTTTGTTGTTTGAAGTTTCTGAAATATCTTTGTGGTCTCCAGTTTGGTTCAAAGTTTTCATGTTTTCAGGAATAATCTTCATGTTTAATTTTAGCATCATTATATTTTTTATGGTCTTGTCAGTCTTTAGCATATTCCTTTTTATATTTGT